TGCTGTGATGCCACAGCACTCTACCCAGGGGGACAGCTTGAGGCTCTGTCTCAAAAAAAAAAAAAAGAGAATCACTTAAGCCCAAGAGTTTGAGGTTGCTGTGAGCTGTGACACTAGGACACTCCACCGCTGGGAACATAGTGAGACTCTGTCTCGGAAAAAAAAGAAAAATCTTTCATTGATTATGAAACTGAATGGAAAATTTGTGCTTCCATGGAAAACTATGCATTGTTTAGAACACATCCTTCCAGTTTCTCTGATTCTAGACTTTAAGTGATTTTGAGCTTTTCTGGATAAATTATAGATAACTGAGAAAAATGCAGAATAATTCTAGTCTATAGATTAGTAAATAAATGCTCTTTTTGTAAAAAGAAATTTCTTTTTAGTAAATAAATCCCCCCACTATGAAGAAGCTAGTTTTGCCTCCATTGTGCATTCATTTCAATACTCCTGATCTATAGTCTTCTAGAACCTTCTTTGCATTCTCTTGCAAACTGTTCATAATCTTTTACTGGTTCTCTAATAATATGCAAAATTTTAAACACATTTCCTTTTATAGCTGCATGAAAGAGTTTTATTTCTTTTGTTTTGGTCTAAGGTAGTGATTCTCAAATAGCCCTAGTCATTAGGTTCCAATGAGAGATTAAAAAAATTAAATAGATGCTCAGTGCCCATAGTGCCAGCAGCCTATGCAACGAGGCTGGTGGGTTTGAGCCTGATCTGGGCTCAACAATGTCAAACAACAATGACAACTGCAACAAAAAATAGCTGGGCGCTGGGGCAGCGCCTGTGGCTCAAACAGTAGGGCACTGGCCCCATATACCAGAGGTGGTAGGTACAACCCAGCCCCGGCCAAAAACTGCAAAAAAAAAAAAAAAGAAAGAAAATAGCTGGGCACTGTGGCAGGCACCTGTAGTCCCAGCTACTTGGGAAGCTGAGGCAAGAGAATAGCTTAAGCCCAAGAGAGTTTGAGGTCGCTGTGAGCTGTGATACCACGCACTCTACCAAGGGCAACATAGTAAGACTCTGTGTCTCGAAAAAAAAAATTAAATAGAAAATATCAATTTGTATTGCATGTGATACAAGTAATGGTACTATTTTAAGAATATTTTATTTTGGCTTGGCACCTGTGGCTCAAGTGGCTAAGGCACCAGCCACATACACCTAAGGTGGCAGGTTCAAATCCTCAGCTCAGGCCCGCCAAACAACAATGATGGCTGCAACCAAAAAATGGCCAGGCGCTGTGGTGGGCGCCTATAGTCCCAGCTACTTGGGAGGCTGAGGCAGGAGACTTGCTTGCCAGGTATTGTGGCAGGCCCCTGCGGTCCCAACTACTTGGGAGGAGACTCACTTGAGCCCAGGAGTTGGAGGTTGCTGTGAGCTGTGATGCCACAGCACTCTACCCAG